GGAATTCTGGGAGTTGAAGTCCGCCAAGGCTTAAAGTTGCCAAGGTTGGAGACCCCTGCTTTAGATAATCAGTTCAGATCAGCGCTGCCTTATTTCAGTAAAGAACCATGAATTTAAAGTTCATGTAATCAAAGGAATATACAGGGAGTCCTCAACAATAGTTCATATAGTGACCAAAGTTATAATGGTACTTTAAAAAGTTGACTAAGGACTATTTTTCACACTTACGACCATTGCAGCATTCCCACAGTCACGGTGATTTGCATTCGGATGCCTGACAACCAACTCACATTTATGATGGTTGCAGTTGTCCCAGAATTGTGTTATTCCCCCTCTTGCGACCGTCTGACAAGCAAAACCAATGGGGAAACCAGATTCACTTCACAACCATGTTAAGACCTGCGGTGATTCACATAAATAAAGGGGCTGAGAAAAATCGTAAAATGGGGGCAAAACTCACCGAATTTCTCCCTTAACAACATAAATTTTGAGCTCCATTGCTGTACGTTGAGGACTGCCTGTATATATTGCCCGTGTGAGCTCCCAGCCTTCCTACAAATACGGTATTTTGTAAAAATAAGGGACAAAGAATACTGTGGCAAACTGTGTAAAGTTAGATGTGCCTTGACATGTTCAGGATCAGATTATTATTCATTTTACAACCTTTCCCCCTTGATTTAAAGTCAGATTGAGAGCCAGTTTGGTGTAGTGGTTAAGGCACAAGGCAGGAGAAACCAGGAGACAGTCTAGGAGAATTCCGGTCCTGCCTTAGGCTCAATACTAGCTGGATGATCTTGGGCTGGTCACTTCTCTCTGCCTTACGATGGAGGCGATGGCAAACCACTTCTGAAGAACCTTGCCAAGAGAAAACTACAAGGACTTGTCCTTGGAAACTTTGAGAACCGGACATGATTGAATGGAAGAGAAAAGTTACATGGATAAAGACAGACATCTGGTCATTTCTACCCCCGGCATTATTAGCCTGTTTTGCTTTCTTTTACTAGGAGGCTTAAATTACAGATTGGCCATCCATGAGTTGAAATTTGCATGTGCCCCCCTCCCCCCCCAATGATTTGTCCTGTTAAAATATAATGGCAAATTGCTAATTATCAGCCATGTGATATCTCCCCAAAATTTAAATATTAGAATGTTCTTTCCCCAAAAGTCTGGAAAAGCATTAATTTTGAGACTAACATCCATTGCTGACCACTGCCTTCAAAGCCATGAGAAAAATGTGTACCATGAAAATTTGGTCGACTTTAGCTTTAAATGGTAAAAATAAAATTTGTGATCTAAATCTAGAAGATAATGTGTTCACAGAAGTTCAAAGAATCCAAAGCAGCCTAATAAAAATGACTTAACAATAAGGCAGCTTAATGAAATAATCGGTGAATTACTTCTTTGTAAAAGGAAATCAGAGCTTAGAGACATTTGTATACTAAGCTACCTTAATCAGCTACATTATCAGCTTTGTTCCTGGTTTAGCAAATCTGTATTCTTGGTCTTAAAGTGAGTCAGCTAAAACATCTTCTAAAAAAAAAAATCCTGACAAGTCCTGACAAGAGAGCTGAGAAAGGAACAAGAACAAAGAAAGGTCTTTACGCTGTTCAGTGCATGTGGCTTTCTTTGATGGTTACTCTCAGTATTTTTAGGTATTGATTGGTGGTGGAAGAGGGCAGCAGACATTTTTCACAGATCTGGGGGTAAAGGTAGTCCTCACAACAGTTCATCTAGTGACCATCTGAAGTCACAGCAGCAATGAAAAAGTGCTTTAGGACTTTTTCCACAGTTACAACCGTTGCAGTATCCCTATGATCATGCGATCAAAATTCAGATGCTTGACAACTGTCTTATATTTATGATGGTGGCAGTGTCCGCAAGGTCATGTGATTCCCTTTTGTGATATTCTGACCATGGGGAATCAAATTTCACTCAACAACTATGTTGCCAACTTAACAATCGCCTGATTCACTTAACAACCGTGGCAAGAAAGTTCGTAAAATAGGGCAAAATTCACTTAAGAGCTGTCTCGCTTGGCGACAGAAATGTTGGACTCAATTGTGGCTGTAAGTTGAGGACTACCTACACTGTGCCTTGTTTAAGAAGTTTTCACAAGGTAAGGTATTTTGTTTAGTTAAAACATTTATGCAGCTGCCCATATTCTAACCAGCTGTGGGCAGCTCCCAATAAAAAGATAAAACAATATATAAAATCATTGTTAAAACTATAAAACTAAATGGATACAAACAACGAAAACCTGGCATCAAGTCAACCTTCTGTGCCATTATTCAATCATCTCCTAATGCCCGAGGGGAAAAGCCAGGTCTTTAAAGCTTTACAAAAGTCTAGGAGGGTAGAGGCCTCCTGAACTTCAGGGAGAAAGGTGTTCCATAGGGCAGGAAATGCCACTGAAAAGACACACTTCCTAGCTCCCATCAGAAATCAATATTTAGGGGAAGGGGGGCTAGTACCCTGCCCACCCTAACTGCCCTGGTAGAATAGATAGTTGTCTTTAGGGAAAGGTTGTCCCTCAGATATAGATTGCAGGAGATTAGCCACTGATATCATCTACTTAAGTATGCCTCAACTTCAGCGCCTTTAATATGGCTGGATTTCAACTCCCAGAATTCTCCAGCAAACAGGAGTTAAAGTTCCACAGATCTTAAAGCTGCTGAGGTTGTAAAACGGTGCTCTAATAATACAGCTACCAAGAATTATTAACAACGTAAGGAAAGCATGCTGACCATGGCTCTTTGAAGTCTTCCTTTTTGTTCTGTGGTGTATCTGTTAATCTGTAGGGGTGCATTGGGAAACACCATGTGGTTTGTATACAATCTCCTCTGGGCAATGTGATAGGAAGGGCTTACAATGGAGCAAGTGACAACAATCCTAAATTTTATCCCTTTGTCTTTCTCATTGAGATTCAGTGGGGAAAATGATTGAGGATTTTTTTTCCAGATCCCAGCCTGATCTACCTAGTTTTCAGACTTAGTTTTCTATTGGCCAGCTTCTTTTCCAAACTCTAAATTAGTCCTGTTCTGCTCAGTTTTCAGACAAATAACTTGCTGGCAGAAAGACATATAAACAAAGTTCTGGTCCCTTTTAATTTTGTTTTTGGAAAAAATAAAAAACCGATAACTAGAAATTATATCACAATAGTGACTATATATTAACAGCCACTAGAATTGTAATAATCATGTTTTGAAATGTGTTTGAATATTAGTAGCTCAGGTTGGTAGTTAGGCTGTTGATTTGACTCTGAGATTGGCAACTTGATTGCAAACGTTTCGTCACCATTTGAGGAGACATTGTTAGTGCGTTTGAGTTGTGCCTTGTCTAAAGGCCTGTGTTCCCAAAGACGAGCACAACTCAAAACACACTGACGATGTCTCCTCGAATGGTGACGAAACATTTGCAACCAAATTGCCAAGCCCGGAGCACAATCCAACAGCCTAATCATGTTTTGTTG